TATTAATTACATCAAGTTTAATCAGAATCAATCAAATAGTTGTGATCTGCAGTATATTTAACCAGAGTAAGAACGTAAGAAAAGTGAATTTAATTAACTACTAGTTGATATTTACTTTCGTTTTAAGTAAGTAGCTTGCTCTGATCACAAGTAATATTATATCTACCAAGTTTGGTCAGAATCAGTCAAATAGTTGTGAGGTCCAATAAATTTAACTAGAAATGAATATGTGATATGCCCTCTAATATTTGGACGATGAGAGGTGTGATTTCTCTTGACTACACCATGTTCAACCACAATAAATATCAGGGTCGTCGTTTTATTATGATAATCAGAAAGTTTGAAAGATAGGGTACTCTTGTGGTGGCAGGATAAGGTGGTATGTGTTGAAATACCCGGATAAACGACATCACTTTCCAATCAGCGGCAGCCATAAACGTCTGCACATAACACCTTCCGTTTGATTTGATAAGTATATTATAACAATGTAAGTCTTTGGAATATAATTTTCAACATACAGCTTTAACTATATACATAGGTTTATAAAAATATGATGCGTTAGCATTAAGTGTTATCGTTGTGTATTCAAGCTACTAGATATTAAACTAAGTGAACTCCGTAAGATGGACTCGAGTTGACTGGACATTAGCCGAAAATGAAATCAGTTGTACAAGTTCTATAACTATTAAGGGGCAGTGTTAGCCAAGCCTAGTATTTAGGCCTATTTTGGTGCATATACGTCTAAAGTATATTATTAACTTATTGGGTTGGCGATTTTTTTTAACATTGCATAGGATATTAAATTTCTTTCACGTTGAAAGAAGTTGTATTTAGAACTGGTTACATTACAATTTTGAAAAAAGCATATTCATTATGGCTTATATTTTTTAGTTGAAAATAAAAGTTAAAAGTTTTAGTAATTACACAATTAAAATCCAAGTTAAAGTTTAGTCTTTAGAGCTAAGTCCATGGTAGTGAATAATGTAATTGTTTTTATTTTATTGTATTTTAATTTGTATTTGGTGCAGATTTTATTAGTATTTTGATAAAGAGAAATGAGCAACAAATAACTGTATCAGGGTAGTCGTTTTATGAAGCCATGGAACTTTTGGAAAGCAATCAGGAATTTCTAAAGATACAGTTCTGTAGTACTTTTACAGTGGTAGGGTAAAATGCGTATTTGTTGAAATCCTCTGTAGTGAAGACATATCAAGATTTTAACCTGTCTCCATGTGACAATCTCTTCAAACCTGAAATCGTCCTTGTAGCTCTTGTCAGAATTTTCCTTAACAGCTCAATGACCTTTCTGAAATAAGGTGAACAAAATTGAAATCACTATTTCAAGTGAAATCTAATCAGTAACTTATAGTGAACTAATAATCTCCTTAAATTTGTCCTCAGTATATCTGTATATACAACCTATAATTCTACATATCTTATTACTAATTAAACATATGTAAAAGTTTTAGATTTTGTAATATCTATTCAAATCTTTTTTCCTTATAATTTTGCCCTGGTGTATGCAGCAAGCTCATGAGAATAACTAATGCTGTGGTAATTAGTCTCCATAACTTTACTTTTGTAGAGTTTAAAAATTCCATGTCAGTTGTTAGTTCAACTTGCCAATTAGTATAAATCACTATGAAAAACTTACTTACTGATTTAATATCTCTTACTAACTTAAACAGTATACTGATTATTCCATTATCAACATGATTAATGAAATAAAAAATTGTAAAGGATCCAACACGCAATCCTAAGGTACACCACTTGTAATATAACTGAGTACAATCTTATGTGTTTTACCATCCAGTCAACTCTCAATATGTTTAACTATCTTCTTCCCTGACAGAAGCAATCTTTCCAAGTGTTTAATGTGTTGAAACATTATAAAAAGGATTCTGAAAGTCCAAACCTGCTGCATTAATCCATATTATCAGTAAATGTATTATTTTCAAAGAAAGCTGAAAAAAAAATGACCTACCCTTTCTGTGCTGTCTGCATTAATATGAAAGTTGTCTAAATGTTTTTGTAGAATGTATTTTATGATAGATTGTAGTAAGTGAAGTTAGACTGAATGGTTGATAATTACCTGAATATATTTTCTTAAAACCTGGCTAATCCCCAATCTTCTGAGACCTTGTAATTTTTAACAGATTCATTTGAAAAATAACTTTAATGGTCCATAAATCTTTTTTGTTTCCTTCACAACCTTAGAAGAAATATTATTTTGCCTGGGTGCTTAATTTTCCTTCATTTCACCAATCTTACCAATTCTGTCTTAATCCTATTCTGAGTTTCAGTATATTGAACTGCAAATTGATGCATTTGGTGTTTTGAAATTTTGAAAAGTGTAATTCTTACATGAAGGAAATGTAGGTGTCATGTAGAAAAAAAAATAGAATTTGAAGTAATTTTTAAAAGTTTTATATCTTTAGTAGAAAGTTCAAATAGGGTTAAAAAAATTAATATATTTCTAAGATTTAATTACATAAATGTTGAATTTAAGAATAAGAAGTTTTCGTCTTGTAAAAAGAAAACTTTGCTAAACCTTTAAACCAATGTTTTAGTTTCTTTTTTTTATAGCTCTCATAAATTATCTATAATTTTATTCTGTTTGGATGTCCAGGTCAATGGTGCTTTGTTTATTAAAGTATGAAATTGTTAGCTGACCTTTATTTATTGTGCTATTTAGTTAAATTCATTCAGGTGACCTCCCAATGGTACAGCGGTATGTCTGCGGACTTACAATGCTAGAACCCGGGTTTCGATACCCGTGGTGGGCAGAGCATTGATAGCCCATTGTGTAACTTTGTGCTTAATTACAAATAAATAAACAAATTCATTCAGGTGTTTGCTGTTTGGTATATGAATGTGAAAAGCTACATTCCAGCTTGAGTTGATGATTTTAGTAGTTTTTTGGATTGTGAAGAATGATCTTTTGTTTTTAATGACTCCTCTAACCTAAATTGTATTTGTTTTCTTAATTTACTTTTGATTGAGCTTCTAGTTGTGTAAGCATTCAGTCAACATTTTATTTGGCTAACTCACTGTGTTGATTGCTTGGGTTGTGCACTTTACATATGACTGGATTATGTACAATTTTTTGCAATACAACATAAAGGTGACTCAGGTTGTGTCATCACCAAGTTAACTTCTGATTCTAAACCTGAAAACCATTAATTGTGATTAATGTTAATATACTCATCCACAAAAACCTGTAATATTCTAGACTGTCAGCACACTAAGCCATCAGGCAAACAATTGTAAAAGATACCAATTAGGAGATAGAGTTAATTTTGCTTGTTAAAAAAAAATATTTGCATGTTATCTTTAACATTAAAGTAACAATTACCAGTCATTTAATAAGAGGTAAGTCAAGTCCTTAAGTTCATTACAACCTTGAGCATCAGCAAAAACAATTTAACTTTTCAGTCTTTTTTTCACATTTAGGCAGGTTTTCAAGGATGCAAATCATTTAAAAACAGGAAGGCTATAACTGAGCATAGCATTTCAAGTAAGGTTCCAACAGAGCTTTGTGATTATTATTTCTTTTACACCCAAAAATAAACTTCGTACCTTAATCTTAGTAAGTAGTCAGTAAATTGACACATCCACTCAGGCCAGAGCTAGATATTCTCTAAATCATCACACTGTGATTTTCTCTGTTTCTTTACAAACAAGCCCTTATTGTTTCTGTGTTTGCAGAATCCCCAGGGGTCTTATTATTCAAAAGGAAAATGAAACTTTATACAACAAATATAGACAGTTGATGAAACAGGAATAATCTATCCCAACTCAACATTTTGTTGGATGCATTTTATATCAGCTTTTCAAAACCGTGTCATAAACTATCCTTAAAGTTGGCAAACTACATGAAAATCTATACAAGTTATGTTGTATATCTAGTGTTGATACTTGTATATATGGTATATTAAGAGTGATAGTAATGTTTGTAAGATTAATATTACTAAAAACTTGTCAAAAACAATGTTTAAAGATCAACATTCTTGTGTGTAAAAAAAAACAAAAAACTACCAACTAGATTTCCAACTCCGAATATTCTTGAACTTTGAAATACCAGTCATGCTCACTTATATTTAATGTACAACTCCCAAAGAAAACTGCAACATAGAGTAATGACTAGGAAAGTAGTTTTGTTTCAAATGAAGTTAATGGTTTTATTGTAGTATTAACAGTTTGTTAACCATTGACTATCTTTTAAAAAAGAAAAACAATGTTCAACTACAAGAGTTTTTAGGGGTGCTACAATAGCGTGAGGTCTACACAGATACTATCATCATCATCACCGTTTTAATGATTCACTAAAACATAATTTCTTGCTGAGTAATTTATATCTATCCATGTTTTTGTTCAGCAAATAATAATAATTTAATAAGTTGTGTGTTCCAAAAAAAGAGTACCTTAAATTTAGGTTATAATTGGGCTAGTTTTGATTGTTGGAGTTTATTTCATTCCAATTATATTTGCCCCAAAAATGTTATGTAATGATATTTTGTACTTTATTAGTTTAAAAGTGTTATTTATAATAAATGGTGCCAATTGCAAATAAACAAAAGTTAAAACGGTGATGATAATAGTATCTGTGTAGACTGCATGCTATAATGTAAATATCTTTGTATTGTAGCACCGTTTTAGGAATATTATTGACTAACACAACGTAATGAACTGTCAGTCTCCTTTAGATTTTTTTGTTATATTATAATTGCTATAAAATTATGGGATTTTCTCTTGCATGGGTTTTTAGATATATCGTGGAACTTATGTGTGTGTCCTCAGCATTCTTGGAAAACATTCTTTCCTCATTTTGGAAAGGAGTAGGTTTTTGACAAATTAATAAAAGGAAGTAATAATGGAATATTAAAAATTTCAAAATTTGTTAAGAAAAAGTAACTTGAACAAAGTTTCTTAAAATGTCTGTAAATAACTTTATACTTCATTGTTAGTGTTTTAATTATGCAAACCTACAGTTCTGTTGGTACCAGTGAGTTTGACAACTACAAGTACTTAGAATTAAGTATTTTCTTGGGGAAATTGTGGAGTTTTGTAACCAGGTTTCAAGCATATAGGCCTTGATAAGTGGAATTATGAATAAATATTTTCCTTCAAGTTAAGGAAAACCTTATAACCTGACAAATCACACTCCTTGTTTAAACAACTCTTTGTAATATCAAATACTGCTATTTTGCTGTGATTGAAACTTCCATTCTAAAATTCATACCCACCAAAATTTTTACTTAGCTTAGAAGAAACATTACTTACTATTTTTGATTTATATGGCCAGTTTAGTCGTATGTAATAATACTATTTCCATTCAAGTATTGCATCTTTTATAATTTCCAACTAAGTAGTCATTTAGAGTTGATGCAAATGTAGTTTGTACAGCTAATTTCTGGTTTATAATTTTTCTGTGTTGTTGATTTTGTCTGATATTTTTCTAGCTATTTAAAAAATATTTATTTAAGTTGTTTTTAATACCCTTTGAATTGATAAAAAGTACTTGCCTATTCAATATAGTATAGAATTTCTTACAGTCACTAGCCATCTCATCAAACAAAAATTGAATATAACAATAATAAAAATTTCATCCAACAATTTTAGTGAAGCTTATATCCTTGTTACTCCTAATGTTTCGATTAATAATTTAAAATAGATACTCAAGGAGACTTAAAAAGGTAAATGTTTTAGAACTAGCATCATAATATAAATACAGATTGAAAAAGTTTAGGAAATTGAACTTCAAACAAAAAAATATATACATGTTAGTATATTTAAAAACATTGGACATAGGGAGTGTTAATTTGTTATATCTAAAAAATATATAACTAGCTATATTAAAAGTTGAAAAAAATTAATACTATTATAATTTTAATCTGCAATCCAACAGAAAAAGTAACACTAAATTGGTTTAATGCAAAAAAAAAAAAGAATACTTGAAAAATTGGTTTACAGTTTAGGAACCTAAGTTTTAATTCTGTATCAGAAATTTACCATGATTTGAAATTGAACTAATAATTTTAAGTGTGATGTAAAAATGTTTAGGATTTACATGTAAAGCTTAATAATGTTTGCTTGTAGTGTGTATAGCTGCTTCATTTAAGAGCATTTGTTTGGTACAAACTGGGATTCTTGACTTAAGTCCCAGAAATTATAATAGTTTTGAAATCAATGATTTTATTTGGTTTTGATATATCACAAAGTTAGATTAAGTCTGTCCTTTGTGAAATCTGAAAATTCATTTGATCAAAATTCCTAGACATGCCTTTGTACAACATTTTTGAGCTTTATTGTGAATAACGACAACATGATCAAATAAAATAAAAAGGACATTGTTTAATGACTCCTTAGTGTCTTTAATGGTTTATGTTTTTGAGGTGGGTCAGGATAATTAAATTTAACTTGAGTAGGGTAATAGTAAAGGACAAAAGTACTGTTAATGTACTGTAGTTTTATATGTAGCATTATACTTAACAGTTTATAATCTTTCAGTGTTATGGTCGGAGAGTGACCTGCTGTGGACTAATGAAATCTCAATCATTTTTCACCAGTCAGCTTAAGCTAAGGATATTTAAGAGTAGATTTGAACTTGCCGTAAACATAAAACTTAATGGAAGTGAAAATATATGAATATTCATATATATATATATCCAGTAAAAATCAAAGTAAAATGACAAAATTTGTTGAAGCTAGTTAAATAATCTAGTGAATTCTCCTCATGGCTTTCCAAAATACAAGGTTGATTTTGAATATTAGTTGGAAGAATGGATTGTACAAAAAATAGTTTAAGAGTAACATTCTAAAATTAGATTTGTTCTTAGACATACTCAGAACTGTATTTGTTTGCTTCTGTTCATCATATGTAAATTAGGAAATTGCACAAGTTGTTAATATTAATACTCTTCTAGGGCAGTATTCTAAAATACAAAGAAAAATGAGACAACTGAGTGTATTTTTGAAAAAGTTAGATTGAAATTGTGTAGTGTTAGTGCTTCTGCATATATCTAACTTTTTGCATTAAAAAAGCTTTGGCTTTAAGCCAGAGCTTAGATTAAGATGTATATATCTTTTTCTACTTGTAAAGGAAAATTATAACATTATAAAAATCTTACACAGAAATCTGAGGAATTCACTGAACTGTATGATAACTAAATTCCTATGATGTTGTGTGGAAACCATCATTTCTCTCAAACTAGTTTATTTTTATGATTAACAATCTTGGTTAATGATTAAATAGCAAGCTACATTTTTAACTAACCAGCAAATTGAATTATAGTATTATTTTTGTATTAAGTCTTAAGCAATGTTTTTCTCATGCCTTTATTTTTCTTTCCATATGTTGCCTATCCAATATGCAATGTAATTTTCATTTTAAGATTAAAAATACTTTTATGTATCAGAAAATTTTCAAATTTCATGAGCATAATCTGTATAATGTCCAGATAGTTATCAAAGTTTCTTAAGAAAAAACTTTATATTTTATCTGTTATTTTCACAAACAAATTTTTGTATGGGTTCGGTATATTTGACTGATCTTATAACCACCATAAAAAATTAGGAAATAAATATAAATTATGTCTCTTTCATTCTAGAATGACAACAAATTATAGCATGAAAACATACATGTTTATACTGAATAGCTTAAATTTCATAACATTATACATTTATTTATATTTATAATTTTTATTATATTGACCTTTAAGCCATGCATGGCTAACAGTACAGAAGTTACAATGATACGGAACACGTGCTCTCATGTTACCGTATCCTATAATATAAAACTGACCTTTAGTCTTTACAAAGTGATCTGTATTGTCTGTGTTTTAGATAGACTAGTATTTTGTAAAATACAGTCACATTTCAGTTATTATACATTATATATTTATATAGATTATTACTATTCGGAAATAAATTCCTAAACTTATTTTTCTTAAAACATAGAACAGTAAATAAAAATTGTTTGCTTTACTTCATCTCTTCTAGTTATGACCTTTGTACTTGGTTACTGCTTCTCGTAGCATGCTAAGTCTTAAGAAATTTCACACGTGGAGGATGCGAGTCAAAATAATTTTTTTAGGTTTTATATATACATTTGAATAACCAAAAAAATCGTAAGTTACTGTATCGATAGAATGCCATTATAATTTATCAAGTTTAGTAACTGAGCTGTATTTTGGTCTAAAAATTATTAAATTTCGAGCACACTGAAGACACAACATACCTTCTTGAAATCTTGTTTTGAAAGAACAAGATGGCATTCTAACACATGAAAATGTCTGAGAAAGCCACTAGGGGGACATTCTGATCTTTTGTTTGGTTATGCATATGTCGTATATACAAGTAAGTGTATATAAGGTACCATTTCCAAGAATGGAAAGAGATGAGTGGGACCACTGTTTGATTCAGTACATGAGTGATATCTCAGCAAGTAGGAAAGATAGGAGGTTCATATTTTATATTCTAGCTTGTCAATAATGGTAATTTCGGTTCCTAATTTGTACAAAACTACAGATTTTATTTTGATATCACAAACATCTAATTTGAACCAGTGCTGCATTCAACATACCATGTGACACACAAAAATCAATGTTTAACTG